GCATTTCATGAAGAAGATGATCTGCTCCCCCTCATCTGATATCAATTTAAAGGACAAGCTGAGAGTGGAAAAACGTGACCTTATTTGCGGATTCAAAATTTTCTATTTAAAACAAATCCACCTATGTCATAAAGGATGTTTCAAGATCAATGAGGGAAGGGAAAGTTTTTCCCATTCCTTTTTATTACTAGCTGAGCCAGATGAAAACAGAAAACATTTAAATGAGTATTCTTGTGAATAAAACTTTCCAATTTGCCTTCTCCCCTTGGGACCTTAATCCAGTCTCCGCTGAATTCAGTGGGAGTCTTTCCACTGACTTCAGTCAGTAATGGATCAGACACTTATTCATGTACCTTTGGGTTGGGTGACTTTTCTATTTGCAAAAATGTTTAAAGGTGAAAAGTGTCAAATTCTAGTACAAATATACATCACTGAGAATATTTGCACTGGCAGTGTTTGCTCAGCCATTTGAAAAATTGTATTGCTTGCACAATAGATTTGAACAATTATGATATGTGGATAATTTGTGAACAAATAAACAAGACTTCAGTTTTAAGCATCCAATCACAGATTGGAAATGATATCAGGTAGCTTAGCTGATCAGTTGTATAGCAGTGAATAAAGAATTGCAAATACTCAGACTAGTTCTTGAATAATCCATAGACAATTTTTCCACACATATAATTCAAACAATTGTGAACATACTTGTTAGAATCCCAACCTGATTGCTGATCATTCATGAACAGAATAAAAGTGCTGAATTCATTGATTAAATTATTCACAATGATTAATTCAGACAGCTCTAATTGCTTAAGACACTTGCATAGAAACAGGATTTAATCGTTCCTTAGAATTTCATCTGCTCTTGATACCTATTCCTTACCTGAGGAAGATTTCCGTTGCCAAACCTTATCAGTACAAATCTATGCAAATCTATGCAGAGAAAGGGAAAATGAAAAGCAAAGAGGAGAGACAATTATTCTAGAGAGTGAATACTGTTAATCTTGTGTTAAAATGGATCATGTTACCGTTTGTAAACTGGCATTGATCCTGAAGCCACTCCGTCTGACCTCTCTGATAAACAAATCCCCTAGAAACGTTGAACCTACAAGAAGAAAAACTAGTTCCCTATTTCAGCACTCAGCAAGGAAGCTTAGGAAGAGAAAAAGGTATCGCTTCGGCTGAGTCCAATATACAGTGAAGCAAGTTAAATGTTTGACATTTTTATTTTATTTTTGTTATATTTGCAGAGGATGTGAACAGATTGAAAGTTGACAATTTGAGAATGAAACCAATTCTTCAGCTGTATAAAGCAGTAAGTTTAATGACCTAGAGTATGTCCGTGTGTCTGTCCTTTTCTTATATCATGTTTTGCTTTGTCAAGATTATGTTGCTGAGAAGAGTTTCTTGATTCCTAGTTTCAAAAAAAACTACTGAAATTTATTATATGTTCAGTTTAATGTAAGAGCTTTCCGGGGAATAAGTGTTAATTCAAATTGTGCTTCATAAGCATATATGTTTAACAAAAATAAAGTCTACACAGTAAAAACTTTAATTCATACTAATATCTGGAAGCCCTATTGTGAATTATAGAATTCTGCAGATAGACAACCAAGTGGTTTCACTTATTAAAAGAACAAATGTAATGCATCACAAAATATACTTCTGTTCATTTATTCAGTGAATGTAGCTTAGTTTTATTTATAATACTTCACAGTATACTAATAAATGCTGAAAAGATCATGAAGCCATAGTAATAGAAGATCTCACTACAACCTTGTGCTATTACAGCCTAGATGAAAATCAGGGAAATAACACTGATTTTGTGCATGATTTATGGAGAGTGTGGGTTCCAAGTGTATCAGTTTTAATGAGCACATGCTTTGATTTTTTCCTCTCTCTCAAAGATGGGTAAATAAGGCAAAAAAAAAAATATGGATATTCATCACAGTTGTGATTAATTCATTTCCATCATGTTCAAGATGGGAATTTGCATTTGCTTCCTGCAATCTTTTGAGTGATTGGATTGGCCCAAATGTTTATGGAAAGCAAATGTAAAAGTTGCATACATCAGAAGTCGCAAAAAAATAGATTTTAAGTTTGCACCTTCACGAATTTGGGTCAAAAGTATTGGTAGATGTATCCAATGAGAGAACAGAAACAATACCACATGATTATCCATTTAAAACTAAGCCATACCAGATCAAATTTCACAAGCCACATTCAATCAAGCGGGGTAAAAAGCCAGCATATGTTTGAATAAACAACTAATAAATAGATTTGGGGAAATCCTGAATGGTTTGCAGATATTCTGTTGACAAAATGAGAGGCCACATTTGTTAAATAACTAGTTTATCATCAATTATTTTCTTACCTATCAATCCATTTCTAGAGGGACTATTACCGTAGTATCTGGGAACTATACCTTCATACATTATGAAACATAAAACAGATTACTACACTTAATTACCAGATAAATTGCCAAGAAATTGCCATTATAGCTTGATTATTAACTTTTTTCTTTATTATTTGATTACATAATACCAATTTTATTTATTTATTTCAAAGCATCCTGCTTCCCTGCTGTAAAGAAAATACAGGTTAGCCTTGTCTTAAATGATTGTTAGATTTTATTTGCTTAACCTCTCAGTAAATAATAGTTATTTGATATAGCCCATTTGTCCTGCTTAAAAAGAAAAAAAAGGGGGGGGGGGCTATTCCTAATATAGTATAGTGCTGTAGTCTCACTTCTTGGTAGAAAAAGACCTAAGAAAAATTAAGAGACTCTGGCCCCAATCAAGCAAAGTACTTAGCTATATCCTTAATCTTAAACACATAATTAGTCTCATTGAAAGTAATGGTACTACTCAAGCTTAAAGTTAAGCATATGCCTTTGTACTTTGCTCAATCAGGGCCTGTAGCGAAGAAAGACTCACCGCCACCGCGCCTCCTGATAGTTGTCTTGGGAATTAGCTCTCCAGCATACGGAGCGCCGCCTCCTGGCCGGTGTCTTGCCTGCCGCTGGCCCCATGTCCCACCCGGACCCAGTGCCCATTTACCTCAGGGTTCTGCCCCCAGCAATAATCCACAATCTGGGTCTCCCCTCCCAGGGGAACCCCCAACCCTCTATCCCCACCTTACCTCAGTGGCTACTGCTAGTCACCATCTAGCCCCCGCTCACGGGGGCAGATTGCAGTCTGTAATGACCACTCATCACTGGCAAGGGGTTCAGACCAGCTGCCTCTGCCTAAGCCCGGGCAGCAGCCTCTGCAACCCCAGTACCTGTTTTGGCCTTTTAGCAAGGCCCGCAACCTGAGGATTTACCAGGCTGGATCTCTCCTGCTCCTCTTGCCTTTTCTCAGGCCCTGTTCCCTATACCCTGAGCTCCCAGGCAGCCAGATCTTTCTCCCTCTAAGGCTGGAGAGAGACTCCTCCAGCTTCTGGCCCACAGCCCTCTTATCAGGGCCAGCTGGGCCCTAATTGAGCTGGCCACAGCTGTGGCTGCTTCCCCAATCCGCCTAGCTTGGCTGTTTTAACCCCTGTTCTCCAGGAGTGGAGCAGCCGCCCCACTACAGGGCCTCTGAGCTCATGAAATTCTTATTTGCTCCTGAAACCTTTTAGAACAGGGTCTTTTCAGATATCCATCCTAAAGCCCTCTATGCTACAAACCAAACTGCCTTATAAGAAAATCTGAATATTCATATGGAGAAAAATTGCTATAGAGGAATGATCATGGGAGGTGAGAGTCCATATCTTTTACAGGTATATCTACAGTGCCCACCATTGTTATATCTGAGCACTGAACAAAGTACCTTAGATTCACATGGCATTTTCCAGGAGAGCATCAAATGCAATAGTCCATGGAAAGGCAGTCCTACCATAAATTGCTGAGTCTGATTCTGGAGAACAGTACTATAATGACATATATTATGTCACAGACCACCATACTAATAAGGAGAATACACACAAAGCCTCATACTAGAGGTGGAAGGATGAATTTAAGGACCATTGAACATTTTAGATTTCCCCAGTCATCTTAAACTACAGGAGCCCCTGCATGAACTAACTTTGTACCAATCAATTCTCAAAATGCTCAAAGTTCAATAGTACTCAACAATTATTGTTCTTTTTTATGGTGAGATGTTTAGCATTTGCACACACTGGGCTATAATTACACATATGCATCCTTATCTATGTATCTATCTCTGTTTCTTTATTTGTACATGCTGGCATATTAAATGTAAGTGCACATAAAACACGGAAAGAATGTGTGTGGAAAGAGAAGAATCAAAAGTTCTAACAAGGAAACAGATACCAATCAAAGCTAGATTTTTCAACCCGACATATTTTCTACACCTGGCTCTTTAGGAGGATAGTTATATGTTTATAGAACACCCATTCTACCATGCAGTTATGTAGCTGTTATAATATGCAGTGAGAGACAGAGACAGTTTTTGAGTCCTTTAAATAGGAAAGAAGCCCTTTTCTGTTAATGAACATGAATGTTTTAATTTTCAAAAGTGACTAGTGATTTTTGGTACACAACGTGAGGCATCTCATTTTCAGAAAGTGCTGACTATCCCTCTGAAAAGCAGGTCCCTTTAAGGCATTTCAAGCTGAGCACCCAAAAATCACTAGTCACTTTTGACCATTTAAATCCATAGGTCAAATTTATCCCTGGGCCAACTGCATTGACTTAGAGGTATATTAAATTCCATTGACTTTAGTAAATGCAGTTACACAAGAACTGAACATGTCACCGTATAGTAAATACAAATAATGATTTAAAAGAGCTTTGTGACATCAATGAATAGTGGTCAGGAATTTGTTTTTCAGTCCTATTCTTAAACAGCACCTGGTTTTCAACAAGAGATAATAATTAATTAAAAAGGGATATGAAGTACATGAGGTTAAATTGGGAACATTCCGTTTGAGAATGGAGATTTCTTTTCTGATTGTGTTCTTTCTAACTGATAACAGCTAGAGGTCTGCATGCTGTAGCTAAAGGATGCAACAACCAGTTTGTGATTATTCTCTGGAACTGGATGAAGAAACTTACCTCAAAGCAGAATGTCATCTAAACAAGAAGATTGACCCACATGAAGAGAATGTTGATTTGTCAGGAAACAGTGACTCAGAAAGTGACATCTTCCAGCCCTGCGAAACAAGGGCTATCTCAATTGGTATGGACTGTAAAATGTCACCAGTTGGCTGCATCCAGAGAAGAAGTTGCAGTGAGCCTCCAATCCTGCTAAAGGTTCCATCAAAGGAGCACGAGGAAAGCTACAGTGCAGCTTTCCAGTTTGACAGGCATGCTCCAGGCAGAATTTCCACCTCCCCAACGCTAAGGCGGTTAAGAAATAACGTGGCCTCCGTCTCACAAGCTTCAGGACTTCAGGAGTGCTTTGATGGCACTAGGTTGGGAAGCCAGAGGGAGCACGCTGGTTCACTGCGGCATATTTGTAAAAGTCCACCTCGGTGTACTATGTACTATTCCTCTTCCTCATTTTCATTACCCTCCTGCATTCATGAAAAATTGCTGTCTTCCAAAGAAAACTCTGAAACTCCATTAGCTGCTTTGGAGACTTTTGACCTCAAATCAAAGCTACCACATCGAAAAGATCAGCTCAGCAATGGTAGTTCTGAACCAGTGTTTCAAAAAGTGTGGACGGTCAACACTGCTACCTTGCCTGGGAGAGAACAAGTTTCCCAGCTTAACACTACTCAGCAGGCATGTGCTCAGGTAACATGAGCTAGAATGGAATATTCCATCCCCTTCTTCAGCTCTGTATGCTTGAATTATATCTCAAAGTAAATTATGGGCAAACTAAACCAGGGCCTGTCCGATTTAACCACAGCCTGACCTGGGTCCCATTGCTTAAATAGACCAATATCTATGTTAGTTAGGAAGGAAGGTTTCTCCTGGTGAGTAAGGCCCTGAATTAGCAAAACACTTAAGTAAATGATTAACTTTAAGCATGGAATAAATTGCCTAGGGAGGTTGTGGAATATCCATCATAGGGGATTTTTAAGAGCAAGTTGGACAAACACCTGTCAGGGATGGTCTAGATAATACTTAGTCCTGCCTTGAGTGCAGGGGACAGGACTAGATGACCACTCGAGGTCCCTTCCAGTTCTTTGATTCTATGATTCTATGTGATTCAGTCCAGCCCCATTCCACAAAGCACTTAAGCACATGCTTTGCTGAATAAAGGTGGACTTAAGCATGTGTGTTTAAATACTGTACTGAATCAGGGCCCAAAGCATATTTTTTATTTAAATCTAAATAGTTTTACTTTATTTACTTAAATAGAAAGATATTATTGCTATCAAATAAGTTCTGGCCCCGTTGCCTCATAAACACCTTTCAGGAAATAATCAATTAGACCCATATTTGAGTGTGGAATCATATTTCCATTGGAAACTGATGCTCCTTAAAAAAGACTAGATTATTTTCTTTCATAACAAGTAACAACAATTTCTCACTTTCTTTCAGAAAAAGGAACTACTTATATCAAGGTACGTAAGTATTTGTTTTAGCTTATTCTAAGCTGAAATCCATTATTCTTTTAAATTTAGTCCAATTAGTGGAACGCTCACTGTACGTACATGCAAGGAAAACTCACATTTAAATTACAGGATCACTGGTTAGTTTATACTGAAGCTTGTTAATGAGATTTATTTGAGAGGCCCTCTCTCTGGCATGCCCTGATATGTTTGCACAATGTTTCAGTTGGACTATCTGGGACAGCTACACAATAGGTTTGAATTGCTAAGCAGGTCTAGCCATTTGGATTAACTAGTGTCAGATTTCATCTGTTGAAGAACGTAAAACATCCCAAAATCTTGAGTGACTTTTTTTCTAAAATAGCTTTGGAGAATAACTACCAGAACAGCTCTGTATTGTTCTCACAAGAGAATCAGATTGAGGATTATTGCTGGGTGAAGCGATTGTTAACCCTCCAGACCAAAACGAATACTTGGATTCTCTTCTTTGAAGAGTTGCACAGCAGCTTGCTGACATGATATGGAGTTGTAAAGTGCAGTTTGCTGTACCGATCTCACTAAGCTCTTAGAAGATTTGAGTGAATACCACAAAGAATTTTCAGGGAATATTCACTTGAATTTCAAACTGAATTTGCTTCCGCCACACTTATACTCCTTTTGTGTCTCCTTTCTGTAAATATTTGCACACCTGACTTTTACATACACAACAAACAAAAATAACAACAAGAATAGGGTGACCAGATGTCCCGTTTTTAAAGGGACAGTCCCATTTTGGGGGGACTTTTTCTTATATAGGCGCCTATTACCCCCCACCTCCTGTCCTGTTTTCTCACAGTTGCTACTGGTCACCCTAAACAAGAACATAAAACAAGATAAGCACCACCGGCACATCTCTACATATCAGTTCCTTGTTTCCTGGTGTTATAATCATTTTAATGAACAGTACCTTGAAAATTTTAGGTGGGATACATGGAAGGTGCAGGACCCGTAAGACTGTTAATGCTAGGTTGGTGATGCTTCTAGATGGCCAGAAACTAAACTAAACAGCAGAAATAGCCTCACAAACAACATTCAAGTGATGAGTTCATGACTACATTTTAATAGGACTTACATTAGAGTCCTGCCAATACCTAAGGGAGTGAGTGAATGTCAAAAGTGGAGGTGAATTTGTTCAATGCCTCACCTGGGAAGGAAATTCCTAAGACATGTTCCAGTGTGCATGTGCATGTGTTTAAAAGCATATGGCTCATGGGTGGGCCAAGTCCCCAAATTTTCTGATTTGCTGTAAATCCCAACCCATATTTCAGTCTTTGGAGCTTTCAGCAAATAGCAGACTAACAGTTACTATGGGAATAGCCATTCTGGTCTGTCTGTGTCAGAGCAACACTGCATAGATACAGGCCCAGTAATAGCATGAATGTTTGTATGAGCCGGAGATATAGTTCTGCTAAAATCTATCTGCTAGTGGGTAGATCTGAAAACTTCTGATGATTGAATTGGACAAAAGTTTAGTACTCACTACTCAGAGCTTCAGCTGGGGTAATTTAGTTGATTTCATTGGAGCTGTATTAATTTACACCATATGAGAATCTGGCTCTCCAAGTGTATCTGAATTACATCCAGTCTCATCTGGACCTGTTTAATCAAGAAATCAGAGTGGAAACCTTACAGAATGAGTCGTATACTCATGGATAGGAAATACTGTGAGAATATTTTATGATTTTGATGGTACATCATTATCTCTACTTCTCATTCTGGCCAAAATTAAGATATGTAGACTGTAAGAAAAAAAAAAGTTAGTGTTTTCTTTTGTTTTAAACAAAATTTTGAAGTTCAGTAATCGGATTTGGTTCAAGTTCTCAGCAAAGCATTTATTCAACCGATTTTATCCAAATCAGTTAATTCAACCCTAATCCCTGGGTATCACAGCCAGAAGAAACGCTAGTGGAACATCAGAGAATTTTTCAGTTAGAAGATTGCTGTGAGGGCTGGCTGTACACCCTTAGCACTACTTCACAGATCAGTCAGAAGAGCCTATAGGGCAGAGACGGATCCCTGCACCTGCAATCCTAATGGACTTGCCTTTTCCTCTCAGTTTACTATGAATTCATCTTCACCCTACCCCATTCCAATGACATGCTGAGGAATTTACTACCCAAATGATCGCTCCTCCCCTTCCCCCCTCCCAAGAGACGTGCCTCTCATTCTCAAGTGTAAACAGGACAGTCCATTTTCAGTGGGATATGGGACACAGGCCATTCCATTTTTGAAATCCTGTTCATTCCCTTGTGCCCTCCAAATGAACTTCCTTATAATATTGTTGGAGTATGCCACGTTCTAATTTAGTGCTGCACACATCCTACAATGCTGATCTTTGTGATCTAATTGTTTTTATTCTTACATAAATTAGATTTATTCTAATAACAGCTTTGAAAGCATTTTTAAAATCAAATATGGTGCACGATATAGGTCACGTATTCCCTGTCACATCTGAGATGTATTACAGGTGTAGTTAAGAGAAAATTAGGAACACATCAAAGTGCACACCTTAAAAACATACCACGTGAAGTTTCATTCCATTGCTAGGAGAGATTGTACATAGTGTATGTTTGATTTTTCCAGATCCTGATTTACTTAAAGGTTTTTAATCATTTTCTATAACTTTGTAATACAAACCGTTGACATTGTGTTGTTTCACTGGCAAACCAGATTTAAAGGAAGAATTATTGCACAAATATTTGCAACCCTTGTTGCGCTTCAGTTCATCTCTATGGTAAACACAATCCTTTCATTCAAGCACTTAAGCATGAAATTCTTCCCCTCCTCCCAAGAAAAAAAAAATCCTGAAGAAAATGCACACCTACAAACACTCTGTAGGCAGAAAATAATGGTGAAATGCTGCATTTCTATGTAGAGAACTCCAACTCCAGTAATTCAGTTGCGCAAGATTGCAGCTTTTTTCCTCCAGTAAAACCAACAAAAGAACCCAATATAAACTTTGGCTCAGATGGTCATAGATTTATACATCTACGTGTGCATGCATGATTTAGGCATGCAAGTCACTGATGCATACATCCAAGTTGGGGTTGCCCGCCTATGTGTACGGTAGACATACACACGTGTATCCGCAGCTTGCATATCCATGTAGGAAATTTGCACACCTAAATGATGAGCTCAGTTAGGTGCACGTGTCTTTGAAAATGAAGAACTTTATCCTGATTTTTGATTATGCTACCGTTTAATTTGATTACCAAGAATGACAAAGCGCTACTGGTTGTTTGTCATCACTGTTGTCAATAACCTAGCATTCAGAGTCAAAACTGACTATCATTAGCTACTTTTTAAGATCAGTAACAGAATTTTCTAAATTGGTATCATGAATCCAAGCTGATGGAAATCTGCCAATCTTTACAGTTTAGCCGTTATACCACATGAAGTTGTTTATTGCCCATTATGCTGCAGCAGCTGGCTTGTACTGTAAAATAAGTGTCTTCAAGGTTACCGTGACTAGAATTAGAAGTCGTTTCAGAAGCAGTTTTAAAACTGGGCTCTAGGACCATGACTGTTATTTAACATTTGCAATGCAGTAGGATGTCGAGAGTCCAGTCAGGACACTGTGCTAGGCATTGTGTTCATAGCCACATGACAAAAGGTCCCAGTTCAAAGAGTTTACAATCTAAGTATTAGTTTTGGATTACATGAAAAATAAATCTCGGAGCCTCACTATAAACCCAAACATTAACAATACATTTGAAAATGAAATTCAGTCAAATACATATACTTACATTTAAATTAACAACTCCCACTTCCCCTGGCATCAGCTCTAACAAAAAATGGAATAGCCTTCTGTTAGTAACAAAAGTTGGAAAGAGCTGCTTGCCTTACACCAGCAAGCATGTTAAGGCATATTATACTGCAAATTAAGAGTGTTAGAAAATGTTTGAGTAATTACCAAATTTGACTGAACACTATCTAGAGATTTATGAACATGAAAACATCGCAAAACGGCCAAAAGGAAGTGAAATATACAAAGGTATACTCAAACTTTTTAAAAATCCCATGAAATTCTTTTCTGATTTTCTAGCTTTTTTTGAAATCGGCTGAGTTACGTCAAAGATTAAATCAGCCCTCTTTATCCATGCAGCCCAAAGGCACCTACATCCATGTGTGGACTTAGTTAACATCCCAGTGTGCTGCTATCCTATTCTTTATTCAAGCACTCTCTTGTAGGCGCTTCAAAGTGAATCACTGAATGCATTTAAACGCTTCTGCAAGAACTTTAACCTTTTGTTTCTCCGCTCTTAAATGTTCAATCCCTGGACTTGGTTGTAAACTCTATGGGTATCTTACTAGACAAGATTCTTTATTCTTTTATTAAATGCTCCTTTTGGCTAATTTATAGGCATCTTTTTACCCGTTACCTATTAATACGGTATACAGTAATTCAGTGGGACTGTGTAAGACCTGATACATTATAAAGAAAACATGCTGCAGGACTCCATTTTATTTTAATCCATTGTAAAAGGAACAGTGTGGGTCATGCCTGGTGTGAGTCGCAACTGAGAATGCCACATTCGGGGCAAACTGATAAAAAATAGGACAAATATACCCCAAACTGTTGGTTATTCTAACATTAGAGTTCACCAAGCCAGTAAAAGTGAGTTCCTGTATCACCACACTGCTTGACAAGAAAGTAAGAACATAGTGTCCTTAGGCAATCCAGCCCCTCTCACCACTCAGCTATCAAGTCTTTTTGATGAGAGGTTCCTGAAAACCAGAGTCATCATATGTAAGGTTCTTCTAATTCCAAAGGATCAGCCACTCCCCCAAGTCAATACATATTCTTTAGATCTTACCAAATATCATGCTGTAGCCAGTTCCTTTAATAACTAAAAACTAAAGGTTTATTAATATAAAAAGAAAAGAAGAGAGTTATTAATTGGTTAAAGGAATCATACACATTACAATTGATTTCACAGTTTGCAGGTGAGAATGATAGCAGTGATGTTAAATCTGCTAGCTTTCAATAAGTCGCTCTCATTCACCATTAGATTGGGGGTCCTCAGTCCATTGTTCAAAGCTTTCCTTTGTTAGAAATCACGTCCAGAGATGTGGAGCGGGAATGAAGACAAAGCAGTCATGTCACAGCTTGCAGTTTATAGCTCAGCCCATGTGCATGGAAAGTTACTGGCCAACATGGGGTCCAGGGTCAGACGAGCATGGAAAAAGGTCACATGATACTGGTAAAAGATGGAGTCTTAGATCACATGTCCTTACATGCCTTGCTGAGTCATCAGATATTTTCAGGAGGGTCCCTGGAATAGTTGATTGTTCTTCAGGCTGGCTAGTGTTGATGAATATCTGTCTGGGGGTATCACCCAGGAGCATAACACATGTTTGAGATACAAATACATAGAAAATATTCTTAACTTCAGATACAAAGATGATACATGCATATAAACAGGATTATCAAATTTTGCAGATTACAACTTCTGCATTTATACCTTACATAACATACTTTGTATCAGATTTAGTGCAACTGTGCAACAGTGGTGACACATTGGTGATAATACATTAGTGTACACCTGGTTATCATTCTTTTTATATAGCATCACAAGTAGTGGGGAAAATTATTACAGCACTGTATATTTTAATGCTTTGTCTTTTGAGACTTCTTAGTATGTGTCTGGCATGCCGGTTTTTTAGGAGTGACAATGTTAGTGCCAGCAAGAGAGAGCAGGGCGTTTTCTGCATGGGGTCCAGTTTTCTGCTCATTAAATTATTGATTTTTTTAATGTATTATACAGAGCCCAAGTGTGCTTTTGGGGTTTTTTGCTTGCTGTTGCTTATTATTAGCAATGAGCACAAAATAAATCACCTATGTAATAATATTAGGAGAGGCTCTGAAGTTTTTTCTTTTGTAGTTCATGTAGATCAGCAGAACGCAGACGTAGCTCTGTGGTGGTAAGCTTGCCCGGACTTGAAGTGTTCCCTGGAGACCTCCTAGTGTCAGACGATGCTGCTGACTACCTGCAACGCTCATCATTGCTGTTAAATGCAGGTCAAGTACAGGGTGGGTTTTGATTCTTTTAAACCAGTCATAAATTTATATTTTAAAAAAAGTTAAATTATACTTGAGGCATAAACCAACACCCCTCAGGATTCAGACATTCAGAGTTGAAACTGCCAGGTGTGAATACGAAAATTCACTGTGGATTTACTCTTATCAATCTTCTTTGCTGATCAGCTGTATAATACAGTTGATCAGTGACTTCTGCCTACAGTGGTACTGGTGTTTAGCATCGTCGTTAGTTTATAAGCCACGTACTCCAAAAGAAATTCTATGAGATAAATAAGGTGAGTCAAACTATAGATATCAGAGGCTTAATATTCCTATTGCTTGACACTTCGCCGCTTTTCTCAATCCCAGGCGAATATAGATTTTTTTCTTAGGGCTAATCTACACTACTGTACTACATTGGCACAGCTGCACCTCTGTAGCGCATCTGCTGAAGATGCACTATAGGAGAACGCTCTCCCGTCGGCATAATTACTCCACCTCAATGAGAGGCAGAAGCTCTGTTGGCAGGAGAGCATCTCCCACCGACTTCGCACTGGTGTGGACAAGGCGTAGGTCCGTGTAACTTGTGTCACTCTGGGGGTGGCTTTTTCACAATCCTGAGCGACATAAGTTATATCAACTTAAGCAACAGTGTAGACAAGTCCTTAGGTTCTTCAGCCATTAAAAAGGTCAGGAATTAGGCTAGGTGTAGTGAGCTATTAAGGGCTACCAAATGATGCACAGTCCTATGGGATATTATTTTGGAACTATTAAATTGACAGTTGTCTAAATCATTATTTTAAAATGTGGTTTTGAACACATCGACCTCTCGGGGATCGATTTATCGCGTCCCGTTGGGACGCGACAATCGATCCCCGAATCGACGCTCTTACTCCACCAGCGGAGGTGGGAGTAAGCGCCGTTGACAGAAAGCCGCAGAAGTCGATTTTGCCGCCGTCCTCACAGCGGGGTAAGTCGGCTGCGATACGTCGAATTCAGCTACGCTATTCACGTAGCTGAATTTGCGTATCTTAAATCGACTCCCCCCTGTAGTGTAGATGTGGTTTTGAACTTCAATTTTAATACAATGATACTTAAGCACATGCGTTCATGAATCAGGGCCTGAGTTATTAGGATTTGTTTACATGGGGAAATTTACTGGTATAACTATACCAATATAATTATTCTGGAATAAGAGAGAGAGTGTCCACATGGGAAGTTATACCAGTATAACTATAGTGGTATAATTAGGCTGGAAAACCAGATCGGCGGGCAGTGATCGATCCAGCAGGGGTCAATTTATCGCATCTAGTCTAGTCTAGTCTAGTGTAGATCGACCCCCGAGTGCTCTCCCATCGACTCCTGTACTCCAGCTCTGCGAGAGGCGCAGGCAGAGTCGACGGGGGAGCGTCAGCAGTTGACCTACCGCAGTGAAGACACCGTGGTAAGTAGATCTAAGTGTGTCGACTTCAGCTACATTATTCACATAGCTGAAGTTGCGTAACTTAGATCGATCTCCCCCCCCCCCCCCAGTGTAGACCACGGCTTAGTGGTCAAGACCTTAAATGCTATAATTAACAGATATGCCTAGTGTTCTTGAAAGTTGAATGATATCATTTTAAAGAACTAACGTGAAGTCTAATTGACCATGTCATGGTAAGAAATTAACTTGCAGTCATGTAGCCGGGTTTTTAGCAGTGCTGAGCACCTGCAACTCACATTGACAATGAGAATTGTGAGCACTCAGCAACTCTGAAAATCCAGTCATTGGTACACATCACTATTGCACATGGGACCTGTTCCAAAAGCTATCAATGGGTTTAGCTCAACCTCACAAACTGCCTGTACACAGCTGTTAAATTTTAGTTAAGTATAAATTATTTCTTCTCCTTAAGAATTTTATATGTCTCCTTCAAAAAAAAGAGCCACAAAATAATAATAATGATCTTCCTTTTCTTTTTGTACCCAACAATTTGTGTGTTTTAATTTCACCCATTAGAGTCCAAAAAACCAAGGTGGCCGTTCGCCAGAAAAGGAGCTGTGAGTATTTCACAACATAATTTTTCCTGTAATAGTTTCCCACAGATTAAAGCTGTGAAAGGCTAACTTAGTTATTCATTTTACTATCTCTGAAGAAAGGCAGAGGGCTGGTGAAATCAAAAATAAATGCCTCAATTCAACCAGGTAATCTGTGGAGTGATCTGCCCCCTACATAGTCTCATCCTGATTTCTAATAAATATAAATTGATTTAAACCCTGAAGCGCAAGGCTTAATAACACTGCCAACATTTTTTGTTGGCTTTAATTACAAAAATTCTAGATATTCGTGCAACCGTCCAATTCCTTTTTAATCTTGTAAAGTTCTTGCTTTCGTATGGCCACGTGTCATTGAGGCCAAGAAGTTAACAACGGGACTACTCAAATACTTAAAGTTAAGTACCTGTTAAAGTATCCTACTGTATTGGAGTCAAAAATCACTTTATCAGTGATGTTAACTGAAGGAAACATGCTGCAATGAAACAAATTTGATGTGTTGAACTAATACTATTTACCAATAGTTGAAGACCCCTACTAAGAACAAAGCCAGCCTAACCCTGTCTCTAAGGTCCCACTCTTACAATACAATCTGCACAGACCTAGTTCCTGATCCATTTGTGTATATAAAATTTCTCAAGTGTCTCTGAATGAAATAATATGTGAATTTGTACTGAAAGGATCTGCTGTTTCCACTTGTAGATGTATATGGGGTCATTGAAAGTTAGTCACCTGCCTATGCGCAATTAGGTCTTGGAGTTTTTTTTATTTTATTTTATTTATTGTCAACAAGTAATTTTGAAAAATATTAGTCACAAAATCAAAATGATCTTTTGAGGAAACCAAAGATGTTTAAAGTAAGTGCTTTAACTTTAATCAAAGATTTAAAATTAACCTACTGCTCCTTTAGGCACTCAGTCAGTACAGTGATCAGGGCTATAAGTACCTACGTAGCTAGACTGATGGGTCAGTAAGATTAAATTAATAGTTTACTGTCAGGGTTCCTTCCCCACTCTGAACTCTGGGGTACAGATGTGGGGACCTGCATGAAAGAGCCCCTAAGCTTATATTCCACCAGCTTAAGTTAAAAACTTCCCCAAGGCAAAATTCCTTGTCCTTCAACAGTATCGCTGCCACCACCAAGTAAGTTAGACAAAGATTCAGGAAAAGGACCACTTGGAGTTCCTGTTTCCCCAAAAGATCCCCCCAAGCCCCTTCACAGCCTTTCCTGGGGAGGCTTGAGAATAATATACCAACCAAATAGGTAACCAAGATAAGCACAGACCAGACCCTTGGGTTTTTAGGACACTAAAAACCCAATCAGATTCTTAAAAACAGAACTTCATTATAAAGAAAAAAGTAAAAGAAGCACTTCTGTAAAATCAGGATGGAAGGTAATTTTACAGGGTGATAAGATTTAAAACACAGAGAATTCCCCTCTAGGCAAAACTTTAAAGTTACACAAAAACAGGAATAAACCTCCCTCTTAGCATAGGGAAAATTCACAAGCTAAAACAAAAGAGAATATAACGCATTTCCTTGCTATTACCGGTACTTACTATTTCTGTAATATTAGATGTATCATCTCAATAGGAGCTGGATTACTTGCTTGGTCTCTCTCTTTGTCTCGGAGAGAACAACAACACACACAGCACAACGCAAAAACCTTCCTGCCCAGATTTGAAAGTATCTTCTCCCCTTATTGGTCCTTTTGGTCAGGTGCCAACCAGGTTATTTGAGCTTCTTAACCCTTTACAGGTAAAGGAGGGATTTTATGCTACCCTTAGCTGTATGTTCATGACATTTACCAACAAATATTTCACAGTTCATATATTTGCAAGGTGAAATCCTCTGGTCTGTGTTATGCAGGAGGTCAGACTAGATATTCTTAATGGTCCCTTCTAGCCTTACACGGTACATGGCAGCACATATACTTGAAATGTTCAAAATGGGGCCAAAATGTTACAAAATAGGGGTTGAATCCCACTCCCTCATTTGTATGATTAACCTTCTTGAAATGCGTGTGGCAATTCACATGCGTAAGGGCAGTAGTTTCAACCCCTCAGTTGGACTATGCGTTAGAAATACCATTTAAAATATAGAAATGGGATGGTTTGGTAAGAATTAAATGGCCTTTCCCTAATTTTTTTATTTTACTTTTCTGTTTAAATTTGGTTCCTATAGTTAATATATAAAGCTTTAACAGGCAATATATTTTTGTAAAGTATTTATTTTCTATGTGACAACTTCCTAATGTTAGTCAAGATTGTTTTACCAGTGGCATCATGCTGCAACAGAGTTTATGAATCTGACTTCTTCAAAAATTCCCATAACAAGATGATTATTTTCCTTGGTATACTTAGTAGGGCCCGGATCTTGCAAGCTGATGTGTGCAGGCAGACCCATGTACCCACATTGAATCATAGGGTTAGAGGGGACCACAAGGGTCATCTAGTCCAGGGGTTCTCCACCCTTTTCTTTCTGAGCCCCCTTTCCCCCCCCCAACATGCTATAAAAATTCTGCGGCCCACCTGTGCCACAACAATTGCTTTTCTGTATATAAAAGCCAGGGCCAGCGTTAGGAGGTATCAAGCAGGGCAACTGCCCATGGCCTCATGCCGCAAGAGGCCCCAGGAAGCTAAATTGCTTGGGCTTGGGTTTGGGTTTCAGGCCTGCTGTGGTGGGGCTCTGGCTTCAGCTTTCTGCCCTGGGTCCCCGTGAGTCTAATGCTGACCCTGCTTTGCGGACCCCCTGAAACCTGTGTGCAGCCCCTGAGTTGAGAACTGCTTATCTAGTCTAACTCCTCCCAAGATGCAGGATTTGTTGTGTCTACCATCCAAGACAGATGGCTCTCCAGCCTCCTTTTGAAAATCTCCCGAGGCCCGTCTGTTCCATTGTCCTGCTGCTCTTACAGTTAGGAAGTTTTTTCCTGAGATTTAATCTAAATCTGCTCTGCTGTAGTTTGAACCCATTGTCTCTTGTCCTGCCCTCTGTGGCAGGAGAGAACAACTTTTCTCCATTTTATTACTATTTATTTACACACACATGGACTAGGATCTAGGCTAAGGTGATTAACTTTTGAGCCATGTCTTCATAGAATATCAGGATTGGAAGGGACCTCAGGAGGTCATCTAGTCCAACCCCCCGGCTCAAAGCAGGACCAATCCCCAGACAGATTTTTGCCCCAGATCCCTTCAAGGATTGAACTCACAACCCTGGGTTTAGCAGGCCAATGCTCAAACCACTGAGCTATCCCTCCCCCCAAACTAGTGCTCCAGGTGAGGTTTGAACTTACAACCTCAGCATCACTCCACCCAGCACAGCTCTATAAATACCATGCGCTAACCCATTGTGCCACTGGAGCTAACAGTTTCTTCTCATTTTGTTCTCCCTGCATGAGCACAAACATTCCTGTTTACTTGTCAATTTAGACCTCAGTTCAGCAGGGCAATTAAGCATGTGCTTAAATCCCATTGGCATAAGTGGGATTTAAGAAATTAGGACAAAGCAATTAAACAAGTGCAGACAATTTTCAGAGTGGCTTTTTCAATAAATAAATAAATCAATGATACTTCATTTGAAAAACTTCTGAAGCATTCTCCTCTCCTCCCCGCCATCCACCACCCAAATACCAATGGGGAATAAAAATTCTTCCTGTAGCTCCAATACCAGATGCTACCAAACTGTTTAAAATAAATATTTCTGAATATATGGCTTGCATTATTAAACCAGGAAAATGATGAGGATCCCATATTTTCTGTACTGTTTCAGTATGTGCATATATTTTTTCACATAAATAAATGACTAAACTATGAAAATGTTTTTCCATAGAAGATACAATTTCTGTATCCTTTTTTATATCAGCTCATTGTCCCATTTTGTTTCTTTAGTAGCAATACAGTAGTTACCATAACATTCACTTTCTTTGGTTTCAGATGGTAATAAATGTTCTATATAATTATTCTCATTAGTGACTCCACTGTAGGAGGTTCAAACCAAATTCAGATTCCTATGCTGCTATGGTAGCTAATGAGGCTTCAAACTTGTTTGCTCCCTCAGAGCAGTAAAAGTACTATAGAAATCTGTCATATTTATTGTTATTAAATCACACATACACTGTAAATGTACTTCTCTGTCTAGGGTAAAGTTGAACTCTAAGGGAAAGCTGATTTCTGTTACACCACTGTAGATGCAGATTGAAACTTTATTTGAACAGGTCAATAATCACGTAAAAAAAAAAAAGACCACCTTAATTTCCTTTCTAGGTTGCCAACCACAACTAAACTATTAAAAAATCGTAAATACTTTACATTTATTTTACTTTTATCTGCTTAGGTTTTTTATTTATTCATTGGTTTCCTGGCAGCTTGGATAATGAAAATAGATGAGTAAATTTCACTTTTAGTTAGTCAATTTCACCTTCCTATTCTCATAATTAAGGATGAGTGAGCAATTTGCACTGAATGATGTCTTTCTTTTTCTGTTAACTAAATTCTCAGTTGTATTTGTCAAAGTTATTCACAAATTTCCATCTCCAATCAAATAGCATATGAGAGTTTGTTGCAAATATTAGGTATTTTAACTTCAAAATCATAAGAATATAAGAACGGCCATACTGAGTCAGACCAAAGGTCCACCCAGCCCTGTATACTGTCTACTGACAGTGACCAATGCCAGGTCCCCAGAGGGAGTGACCCTAACAGGTTCTCTCCTGCCATCCATCTCACCCTCGGACAAACAGAGGCTAGGGACACCATTCCTTACCCATCCTGGCTAATAGCCATTAATGGACTTAACCTCCATGAATTTATTCAGTTCTCTTTTAAACCCTGTTATAGTCCTCGCCTTCACAACCTCCTCAGGCAAGGAGTTCCACAGGTTGACTGTGCGCTGTGTGAAGAACTTCCTTTTATTTGTTTTAAACCTGTTGCCCATTAATTTCATTTGGTGGCCCATAGTTCTTATATTATGGGAACAAGTAAATAATTTTCCTTGTTCACTTTCACTTTATAATCCTTACAGTTATAGGTGCCAATCCTGCAAACACTAATGCATATATAGCTTAACCTAGGAGTGGTCTGCTTGAGTTCAATACCTTAGTAAAAACTGTGAAACGGATATCTGTTGCATTCTGTAATCTTAATGGTTGAAAGCCAATTTTCTAGATCTGATATTTGCTTTTGTTTGTTTTTACTTTGTTTAAAGGTAAATAAATTATTCACATGTTAATTCTTTAAAGGCATAAATAATTGGCTACATTATTATGGTTTTAGTCTGCCAGGACCATACCACTAACATTTGGCTCTTTTTGAATGGGACTATTTGCATGTTGAAAGTTAAGCATGTGCATAAGTATTTGTTAGATTGTAACCTGAGACTGAGAATTTTGAGGTTCAAATATTTAAAATTTGCAACAAACTCAAACAAGCTATTCAAATTGCAAGAAACATTTGTTATTAATTTTGATATTCACTCAAAAGTGAGTTCACTGGGATTATTCATGAACATAAAAGTTAAGCACATGCCTACGTGTTTGCAGGATCAGTGCCTTAATTAGAAAATGCACGTAATATTGTTTCTGCTCACTGATAGAACATCTTATGGAACTGACCATCACAGATCAAACTGTGAATTTCAAATATTATAATGAAATACACATTTCAAAAGGTGCTTTTGGCAAATATTCCAGCATTCACCTTAAAATTCATTTTTGAGAGTATTAAGTACAAGCCCCCAAATGGTCTCTGAAAGCCAATATGAAACACAGTCTAGTCAACATTCACTTTGAAACTCTAAAATATTTGTGGCACTAAGCATAATGCTGTGAGGTTTGGTGTGCAAATGCTGCAAGCAATGTTTGTTTGTTTTTTAAAAATTCCATTGATGCTTTTATTATTATTATTATTCATTTCATGGAAAAATCTCTTTTAGGGTTCATAAAATCTTATTTTTACACACACAAAAAAGCACCCTAAATGTTATGGCAAATTTGATCAGACAGTGTTAAATATGTAGTTTATTAAAATATTTTGAAAATGTTTTTACCCTCATAGATTTCCTGGTCACATATCACTGATTTTTGCATGAGCAAAGCAAGTTGAGTTTATTCCTAGATGGGTTTTGAGAATAGCTCATTATCACTTGTGATATTCTGGGTTAGCAACAGTCAAAGACTACCGCACTGTACAACTCAATCTCATTGTGCCAAAGAGCCACCTTGACATTGGCTCCTGTCCATATCCAATACGTAGAAGCAAATGACAGCGTCGCATCTACACTCCTTTCACTGGCTATGTGTACGTGGGTTGGCAAAGAAACCAAACATTAGGGTGAGGTCCTTGCAGATTAAAACAAAATTACTGAAGCTAATATGCATATTATTTACCTCTTTAAATTATAACGTATAGAATTTATCTTTTAACAGAGTAAAGACAAACAAAAACAAATGTCTGATCTGAAAAACTGTCTTTCAACCATTAAGATCACAGACTGCAGTGGATACGAGTTTCACAGTTTTAAGGTACTGCAATACTCTGTATATTACACTGATAGTCCTCTCCAATGGACTCAAAACTATTTTCCCTTCTTTGTGTCCCTTTTAAAATTAATCTTTTCCATGCCAGTAATCGACATAGGCAATCTACATGCAGAATCTGTATATAAATTTAGGGTACAATTGTTACAACAGAAGGTGGTTAGTCTTGTGGTTAAGACAGAAGTCTAGGAGTCAGGCAATTCGGGATTTATGCCCAGGTCTGCCAGGCTTCATGTGCCCGTGGTCACTTAGGGTATGTCTACACTGCAGCTCAGACCATGCCTCCCAGCCTCGGGAGAGAGTCACACTAGCTTCGCTCAAGCTAGCCCCCTAAAAATAGCAGTGTGGATGTTGCACCTTGGAAGTGACTCAGGCTAACTCCCCGTGTTCAAGCCGCCTGAGCTGGTGGGTCAGAGTTCGGCGGGCTAGCCCGAACCCCTCCCATGCTGCAATGACCACACCGCAATTGTTAGTGTGCTGGCTCAAGCAAAGCTAACTCGAGTGTCTCCCTCCACACGGGGAGGCTCTCTCCCAGCTGCAGTGTAGATACTCTGTGAAGGTCTCTGTTCCTTGATTTCACCATCTGAAAAACAGATATAATAATACACCTCTGCTTTAGAGGGATGAGGTGAGGTTAAATTCAATAATGTTTGCAAACCGCCCTGATCCTTGGATGGAAGGTGCAATTATTATTTTGCATTACTATTGTTATATATATGATTTGTAATACTCAAGAGTAAAATGTCAAGATTTTTATTTTTTAACTATTAAACATCCAACCAAAGGCTGAGAACTGTTGTTATCCAGGCCAGGTTTACTTGGTTCTTCCACAGCACAGGGGGCTGCACTTGATGACTTCTCGAAGCCTTTCATTTCTCTGATTCTATTATTTATATTGTATTTTAATACATTGCATAAAGATTGCAGCAGTTTATGAATCAGTCAGCTATTTTGCATGAAATGTGTAAGGTTTTTTCCTTCCCCTGCCCCCTCCTCCAATCAATAGAATAAAACTTGGCATGAAATGATAACGACTCAACAGACTGAGGAGAAAGACACTGATGATCCATTAGAAATGAGGAAAGAAGAAGCTATGTGGGAACTTTTTACAAGTGAATGCAGTTACTTTCTGGATCGCTTACTGGTTCTCAAGATGGTAACTTTGGATTTATTTCTCCAGTAGATTAAACATGGGACTTGTCCTGCTGTCAATGGGGCAAGAAGAAAGTCATCTATAACCTCTCCTTCTTTATATCTCAATGGAAATTACTTGTACTTTTGTGCTGTATACTTTTGTGCTCCTCGTGTCTTGTTTTCTAAACCTGTTTCCACAATTCTCTGGTTTTCATTTCATCCTGATGAAATCTTTTCCTCTGTGTACCTCTTCTCAGTGTTTTGCATCAAACTCTCTTGGTTCTGTGCGTTCTGTACTCCCAGTAGTATCAGAGGCAGGGCCGGCTCCAGGCACCAGCGCAGCAAGCAGGTGCTTGGGGCAGCCAATGGAGAGGGGCAGCACGTCCGGCTCTTTGGCAGTAAATCGGCAGTGGGTCCCTCTCTCCTTCTCGGAGAGCCGATCGCGGCTTTTATTTTTTATTTTTTTTTCCGCTCGGGGCGGCCAAAACCCTGGAGCCGGCCCTGATCAGAGGCCATTTTAGTCTGTCTTTCACTCTCTCTCAACTCCCCCTTTCAGACTCATATTGCTATACTTTCCATTATTGCTAGCCCATTTCATTTTGTACTTCTGGCTTTTAATAGCTTAGCTTGAAGAGGACTAACGGGTTGTAACTGTGTTATCCAGACTAGAACCTGAACATGCAAAATTCTAGTATTGCAGTAATTCTAGGATTTCAAGCTCTCCTCCCACCCTGCAGAAAAAATAAAATCAAACGTAACCTTATCCTGAGGAAAATTAGGAGCATCTTCAAAGTTGAACAAGCTGTGGTAAGATTGCATGACTGACAGTTAGGTCACGCAGTAGCCCTTTATAGGTGATAAAGGAAGATCTATCAAGAGGGTTTACACACACACACACACACACACACACACACACTCTCTCTCTCTCTCTCTCTCACCACCTCTACCACTGGTTTCTCAAAGGAAGGAGGATAGGGTCCAGGGAGGAACAGCATTTTTAAAAAGCATGTTTCATGCTGAAAAGGTCATTTAGTTATAGAAAAAAATGCTCCAAAGTCAGGTGGATGAGGAAGAGCACAGAGAGCTCCATTATGGTGGTCAGAAATGGGGAGAGGGTGGTTATGGGACAGTTGGGAAAAGCCAGGATGAAAGTGTCCTGCCATCTAGAAACATTTGTTTAAAGAGTGGAAGTGGTAGAGGATCACTGAGGAGCTCAGCTAACTGCAAGCGGTTCTCCTGCTAGACGGGGGAGGGGGGGGGGGTAGTTACAAGGCACGCAGACTCCATGGTGGTGAGTGAGGAGTAAGAACTTGAGAGACAGACAGGTAGATACAGTAGTAGGCTCTGTGTGGCTCACAAATGATACAGCCTCCCCTCCCCCATCCCATCCCTCCCATCCCAGTTTTTAATTATCCTCCAGCAGCGAAAACAAATGTGCTTATGAAAGAGTTTGGCAACTCTCACAGTTCCATTTATTTCTTGCTGCTCTAAATATTTCTCACTATTAAATGTTCCCCTTGTTCTAATTAAGCTCAGCCGAGATTTGAGACTATGGAGCGTTTCCTCCTCAAGTGGCTTTTTTCTCAGGCTCTCAGATCATTAGTTCATGGCAGCTAGACCAATGCAGGGATAAGCATCAGCATTCACTCTCTTCACCCCTCCCCTAGCACCTTGGGCAACATCAGTAGGCATTTTATTCATGTTTTCACATAAAGCCATTTCTATTAAATAATTATATTTCTCAGCTCATTTTTAGCTGCTTTGGGGCCATTGTTTGGTAGAAATCACAGTAAGTCAGTGCAACCCCCAAAGAGCCAAGCTACAGCAACTGGTGTGTAATGTATTCAGTATTCATTCAGCGCCACTGAAATTCACCCTAAAAGAGGAGAAACTGAACAAGCCACCCAGCCTCTCAAAGCCTTGACCCTACAACCATTCAGATATGGTAAATCTATCTGCCCTCTGCAAAGCCTTGACCCTACAACCATACAGAGCAACCTGGAGGTAGACGGAAAGAGTTGGGGTGGGCCTCGGTTAGAGGACAGGGTTCATGACCACCAGGTCTAAAGAGGCCTCAGCCCCCATTCCCGACCACAGAATAGAATAACTGCCACGATGGGGCTACGTTGCAGTCAGTGGGCTGGCTGTGTACGGAGTCTCTCACTTCAGTCACTGCATAGTTCCTGCCCCAAACCCATTATTTTTAGTCTTTGTGCAGGCCATGAAAGACTTGCTCCTAAATGGTGTGAGCCCAGCCATTTTGTAGTCTGCCAGTCAAATTACGGTTTATGAAGGAATATATGGTAAATCTATCTGCCCTCTGCAAATTAATTGGTTTGTTAATGTTGAATTAATATAGATAAATAATATGGCTTTATTGTCTTTTTTAAAGATATTTGTGAATACGCTAAAATACCTGCAAAACAATGAGTTCCTCGTGGATGTGGATTTGTGGGGACTTTTTGCAAACTTGGAGGAGTTAAACCAGGTGAGGGGAAAAAAAGAAATCTCATTTAGATCAAAAGCTGAAGCATAATTAAAAAAAGAGGAACACAAAGAATTGCCAGACCCAGATTTCAGTGTCTGTATCTTGAACTTGACCCTAAGGACACTTTTCCCCTCTCTCTTTGGCAAAACAATTTGGATGAGGCATCATCAGTCCAAATGATTTCATGAACAGGCATAGAGCCATTTGAGTTTTGGTTATGGCTGTAGTCTGATCATTTCCTGTTTTGAAGTAAATGTCATAAGACGAGTTTGGAATTAGCTCTTTCAAATAGAGTCTTGTTAAATCATGGGTTTTGGCAGTCCTCAGTATACAAACATTAGGGCAGAACAATCACAACAGCCTGATCCATACAACAGTGAATTTCCCGTATCAAACAAGTGCATAGACATGAAGTGTCTGCTACACTATGGTCCCTTTGTGCTACTCCATAAGGACAAAGGGAACAGAAACCACCCACATCTCCCCAGCTAGGGATTCCCCAGGTGACATGCTTGTCTCGTGTGCTACTCACCCTGCAGCTTCTGGGGCAAGGTGGAGAGAAGACACATCCGGAGTGCTCTGTGCTTTGTCTATTCTCAGCTGGTGGTCAGTCCCCTTGGGGACTCTTTTCCAACGTGTGCAAGTTAAAGTAGTCCCTACACTGCTCTGACTTGTGCTGGGGCCAGGAAAAGACTCAGGGATCCTTAGCACCACCCACCCTGAGTGTAAACTCGGCAAAGCAGAAAACTTGGCCTAAGATCTCCATTTTGCAAGGACAGCATTCTCTGCAAGGCATTTTAATGCCAAGACAAGTTAGTCAAGATTGCAACTGATCATACCTGACATTCCTTCAAGCTGAAATAGTTGTTACCCGGCGTTAATGGCAAACAAAACTCTGTCCTACCTTTGACAGCATCACATAAGACAGAAGAAATTATTTCCAGACGGATTCTTTTCACTGAATACAAAATTATTGGTATAAGAGCAAATACATCACCCTGACTGAATAGGGGGTGGCATTTGGGAACAGTTTCTGACTCTAGTGAATGAGTACTGCAGAAGATGATCACTAAGATCAAATGCTACTGTGTTAAGAAAACAGTGCGTTGCAGTTTTCCTCCTCAAAGTTACACTTCCCATGGTCATTGACATCTCATTTTGTTGCTCTTCTTCTACCAGCATAGAGAGTGTTTGCCTTCTATAATAAGGATTGCAAAGATTAATCAGTGTCCACACAGTGGCTTGAACACACAGAGGGCTAAGTATTATTATTAGAGCTCTATTGGCGAGAGGCAGTATGAGCTAGTAGATACTGACAGTCAGGAGATGTTGATTTTACTCCCATCTGTGCCATTTGCTTGCTGAGTCCCAGCCCAGGGCCCTGTCAGTAGCAGGGTTGCCCGCCACCAGCTCAGGGATCCAGCCAAAACACGCTGAGCTAGTCTCTGGTTCTACAACCACCTCCCCGCAAAGATTCCCTGGGTTGCTTCCAACCCGCTTCTCTGTGGTTTGTCGTCTCAGGGTTCCCATGGTTTCTCCTCCCTCTGTGGCATCTGGAGCCTTGGGGGCATCGGTCGCTGCCGTCTGGCTAGCCTCCGCATTGTGAAGTGCCAGCGGTCCTTCAGCAGAGCCTGCAGCACACCTCCTCCCTCTCCAATGGTTCGCCCTGAATGAGCAGGGCTGTTCCCTTTTACACCTGGTCTCCAACTGGAGCATGCCCAGCAGTGTCGAGGGGGCATAGCCTCCTCGGCCCAAATAGAGAAATTAATCCCTGCACTCCCAGTGCAGGGCATGCATGCCCCGTCACACCATAATACGACATCATAATGAAAATAATAATTGTTACTCCAAGAAGAGACTTATGACCTCAGTTCCCCCTGGCCTCCCTACAGAAACAACCGATAAACTAAACATCAGAATAAGCGTGCATCAAGTCTTTGCCTGGCCCTATTGTGGGGTGAGACAAGGGAGGGGGTTGAATTGTGTGCAGTTTACAGGATGAACACACCGGAGGGTTGATTACGATACAGTCATGATTGAGTGTTGTTTTTAATACTTTTTCCATTATCGTTTTTTTAAATCTTTGCATGTGTATATAATATTGTAACATCCATTATGGTCAAATGTGGGGAAAATGACACTGACACTCTTGCCATAAAAGAACTTTATGTTGTGAAATATATAAAATACACCTTGCCAACATGCTAGAATGCATACTGTACCACGAGCAACTCCCCGAAAGCTAAGTAGGCCCACAAATTTGCTAAACAAACTATAGTGGTTAAAATTTAAATCCCAGCATTTTAATGTAGTTTACTATGGTACTAGAGATACAGCAGTTATTTTCAATTCTGACTCTACAGGAATACTGTAGATCCCTGATACCACTGCATGGTAAATGTAGATTTCATAGTAAATTTTTCTATGGATGTACAAGATGTGAAGATTCAGACAGAACCACTAGAATCTAAGTGAAAATATTTTTAAAGAACTCAGTTTGGGAGAATGCCTTGCTTGCATTCTGGTCCCTTTGCAGTTTTAAATAAATGTTTTTCATTATCTTCAGGAAATTGAAATAAGGTTGAATATAAATTACAATCGCTTTCCAAATGAGTTTGAAGACCTCTTTAATCACATTGCAGCTACAGTGTTCTGTCACATCAGATCAGTGTACAGCATTTATTTCTGTAATTCCCAATGTTAATTTGTGTTTAATATTCACATTAATTATGTAGCTACTGTTCTAAAATAAATGTAATTGGAAAAATGTAATCTCATTTCATCATTTTTGTTAAACAGTGCTTGACAAGGCCTAAGTGGGTGTTTTTAACAGGATCGTTTTAACTTCTGATTAACTTAAGCACTTAGACCATGATTCTGAAAGGCATTGTGCCTGCTGACTTAAAGTCAGTCAATGGAGCTTCGTGCAAGTACAGGGCTCTATTGGGTATGGAATCAGTTGCAGGATCTGGACTTTAAAAAGATTTAGTGGTAAAAATAAAGCTCAGAAGAGCAGACAAACTAATTTTTTTTTCTTTCCTTGACTAGGTGAGTCTCAGTTTTGTGACTGATTTTTTCAAAATTATAAAGGACCATGTCACTGCATCTGAATCCTCCCTGGATTTCATCTCTGTACTCACAAAGGTAACATGATCAGAAATGCTCTGTAGTAGGACTCTTAATGTAGTGCAGAAAGTTTGTGAAACTGCTTTCTTGGTCGCATTCCACTTTTACTAAAAGACCTAGATCATCTACTAGGAGGAATCAAGCTGTCCAATGGGAGCTTCAGAGATACATTCACTCTTCTTTCACTCAATGGGTGAAATCCTGGCCCCGCTGAAATCAATGAGAGTTTGCCATTGACTTCACTGGGGACAAGATTTCACTCCAAATTTGTAAGTGCCTCTAACACACGTTGATACCTTAGTACATTCCTAAATATGAGGCTATGCAAAGCTGTTCCGTAGCCTAGAATTTTTTATCATCTACTTTATTTTTCCTGCAGTAAAGTCTCAACACTGCAGATACCCATAGAATTGCCAGAGTTGTGGCAGGATTCTTTAAGAAAGTAGTTTTCTTTGGCAAGTTTACTCTCTATTGTAGCCCAATTTTCCCTGTTACAATCAAATCTCTGGCAAAACGTACCTTATAAAAACTAATATATGGAGATATACTATCTCATAGAACTGGAAGGGACCTTGAAAGGTCGTTGAGTCCAGCCCCCTGCTTTCACTAGCAGGACCAAGTACTGATTTTACCCCAGATCCCTAAGTGGCCCCCTCAAGGATTGAACTCACAACCCTGGGTTTAACAGGCCAATGCTCAAACCACTGAGCTATCCCTCCCTCCTTAGATTGTTTACCCCATTATTTTGCCCCTCACTTTGACATTCCTCTTTTTCAATCTTGTTAAACTTCTAAATCTTTTGTCTTGCAGTATTTTCAAGGTAACCTCTGCCAGACACACCAGATTTACTGCCTTCATTACACCTCAGCCATCTTTTACTTGGAGAACCTAAGGCAGAGAGAAGATTTTGGAATCTATCTGAAAGTAAAGTGTTGGTTTTTCTCTCCTTGTTGAGTCTTCAACCATCCTATCCTGTCTTTAAAAACAAATTGGAAAAGCCTATATTCTATTTTAGATAACAGTCTATGCCTTTTTTCTTGAAATTCTAATGATACCACAGGTTTAAATATACTGGGTGGAATCCTGGCTCCATTGAAGTCATAGGCAAAATTTCCATTGACATGAGCACCTTCAATGGCACCAGGTTTTCATCCACTACATTCATACAGTGCTTTTCCAATGGCAACTGCATCTTAATGCACATTCAATTAGTGCAACCTATAAAATACAGAATTATTAGATGTTAGAACTAGCTTCCAACCGGGGCAGGTCAAACAGGTGGGCTGTTAATCCAAACCTGTTATATGTTACCTCCTATCTCAGGGTAGGAGCAGCAGGATTGGCTGGTGTATAATGTCCTGTGATATCTGCAAACACTGGGATGAGAGTGAAGCAATTGACATAACTAAGTAACTAATGCAATGATCCCCTCTTGGGATTTCCCAACACTGAGGGAAGAAGCTAAAATAACTGCCTATTTTTAAGGGGTTTGTGGATTTTCTGTCTTATGTATTATCTGCTCAAAGATCAGACCTTGTAACAAATCTCAGATTCTGTGATTTAGGTTGCCAGCTACACAGCCCGTGGCAGTGAGCCTCCAAGCCTGGATCAACAGACTCAGGACTAAAATTATCTGTGTAGATGCTGCAGTTTGGGCTGGAGCTCTGAAGCCTAGGAGCGGCTCCAGCCTGAGCCTCATCTTAAAAGTGCAGTCTCCACAGCTATTTCTAGCACGGTAGCCAGAACCCCGCTGGTCTGAGTCTGTCCACCCAGACTCTGAGACTTGTTGCCATGGGCTGCTGCTTAGGGCCACGCTGCCTTAGGGCCAGACTGTGACCCTGTTACTGCCATTGGTGACTCTGATGAGTAGTTACGTGAGCTTCAGTGGGCCTATTCTTACAAGTAACTGCTCACCAATGCAAGGAACAGGTTCACACGCTAGCCTTAGGAACATTTAAAATAGAAACATAAAATGTGGAAGCCCGAAAGGACCCAGCCACTCCAACAGTATGTGCAGACAGGGAGTAAGTATTGCCAACCTCAGGCATTCAAAAATCGTGAGTCAGGCCCCCAAAAATCCGAAGATGGGTTTAAAAATCAAGTGATCTTAAAAATAATAAATATGGGATTCTTTTTATTTCCCTTCTTATTTTTGAGCCTTTAGGATCTGTTCAGGCCACATCTTCAAGCTTTTCTCTGCAACCAAGAGGGATAAAAACTTACTTTAAAAAAAATGAAAGCTGAGATTTTTATATAATCACTTGACTCCAGGAGCTGCTACTTTAATGAGAACACCAAATAGCATGAAACTTATACAAAACACACAATCGTTGGCACACCTGAGGAACAGGAGATTCAAGAGGCTTTTGTGTGAACTGAGAGAGGCTGGTGTGGTGGTTTTGTCACTTAAGCTCTGTCTTTATTTGAAGCCGTGTTTATATTCACATGGTCATATCAAACTTTACAAGCACAACATTCAGAATAAGATGCGTGCTTTATTACTTCATTCTGAGTCTGAATTCTCTTTGCAGATGGAAGTTAAAAGCATGTGTTTAAACCAAGCTAACAGTACCAAACATATGAATGTAATGAAAAAGCATGGTAGTGCTTTTGCGTGTTTTTGTGAGCCTGTGAGAAGGGAGTTGGTAGAGTTTTCATTTAACCCGAGGGAGAACACTTGAATGCTTTTCCCCCCTTTGAATATTTATATCTCTGTGACCCATCTGGAAGGGAAGAGAATCTCCTTGAGTGCACAAGATGGAACTAAAACAGCAGCTCATAGATGTAAATGTCATTTTTACCCCTTGAGATGCTTTTTCCAGTAAAACAAAATGTAACAAAGGGTCCTGATTTCGTGGGTGAATACCCACTTCGTCAGACGCGTCTAACGTCTGACGAAGTGGGTATTCACCCACGAAAGCTGATGCTCCAGTACATCTGTTAGTCTATAAGGTGCCACAGGACTCTTTGTTGCTTTTTACAGATCCAGACTAACATGGCTCCCCTCTGATTTTGTTTTACTGTATCTGAAACCAGTTGGGAAGAAGAGAGAGACTGGGAGGCTAGCACAACAATACTACATTTAGTGGCTTGGCTTTTCCCCGTCATGTAGCTGTATCTCCATTGACTTGACTTAAACTCTTGCCAAGCTTGAAGAGTTATTGTCTATGGACTGCTAAAGTGAGCACGAGTGGTCAAATTCTGCTCTTAGTTACACTGCATATATCTGAAATCAGTGGTGTTAATCCAGATTTATACTAACCGAATTTAGCCCCCCATACACTGCATGGGATAGGGCCCTGCCATTTTTATTTATCTTTATTTATCTTTATCACACAGACCAATAGCACTACATAAATACTAAATAATGGACACCATCATTTCAAACTTGCTCAGCTTTCAGATTTTACTCCATTTAAACCTGAAAAATGAGCTCACTCTTATGGGCAGCTCCAGGGTGGTAGCCAGGTGTCCTGCCCCTTCTAGGGGTATTTGGGGTCTGAATAGCTCGAGTACCACAAGGAGTCCCCCAGGGGCAACAGACACCCATCTAAGGGCAAAACTCACTCTTTTATAAGCAGTCGAACGTTGGAGAGGAAATGGCTCTGGAGGAATCCCCAATTGAGATTTTTCTTGATAAGATTAAATGATATAGTGAAGAAACGTATTCTTAGGAATTAGTATAATGCCTGAAATGTGAAGTTATCTATACCAAAGATTAATCTGTGGGGCTGATTCAGCTCCTCTTGAAGTGAAAGGGAGCCTTTCCATTGACTTCACTGGGAACTGAATTGGCTTCATCACAAGTGGATCCCCAGTTCACTTCAGTCAGCTGATGATGCAGCTAATTGCTTATTAACGGCTTTGTCAGAAAGCATCGCGAGTTCGTAGATCCTAAAACAGGCTTTCTTTATATTCAGTAGTGGTGTGAACAAAATGAACAGTGCAAACGACTACATCTGCCAGAACTGCTGGTGGCTCCTTTACACAGACTGACCCGATATCCCCTCCTCCTTAACAACATCTGGAAGAGAAGCACTGATGCAGCACAGAAAGCCACCATCCTCTCTATTAAGGAAAAGGTGGAAAAGTCCTTACGTAAGTAGCTGAGATTAAAAGTCAAGTTCTCTGTTTATCATTTTCTCTGAGGGTTTACGCACTTGAGGTTCAAATGTAAATGAGGTTGGTTTTTTTACTGTTTGAAGATGTGATTGGTGGCATGAAAAACTCATTGCGATCCCTTTGAGTCCTTCTCTTTTTCTCAAAATTGCCTGGTACCATTCTCATATTGTCAAAGTCTTCCCTCAGGATGGTAATACAGCACATAAATCAGTCAGTCACTTGTATTCACAGAGAATCATTTGCATTGACATGCGAACAGCTGAGAGTAGTTCACAAATGGGAACAAATCAAGGAATATCTCAAACAAAGAGGTCTTTGAGATGGAGTCATGTCTGGGAAGGATTCAGAGGGTTTAATCCTTAAAAGAATAAAATTCCACACAGAAGGGGCATATTATGCCAACAACCTTTCTCGGAATGACAGTCTTTACATGTAAGGTACCTAGGGAGCCATCTCAGCTAAGGAAAACTTTCTCCAGCTTATGCAGAAAAAAAATGGATGGGTTTTTATACTGGATTCTATTTTACATAAATAACCTATTCATTCAATCATTTCCTGAAACCCACAATTTGCAGCTTTAAATATCTGATAGCTCTGAAGCACGTTATAAGACAAACTTATTCTCCAGTGCCCCGATCCAGCTCCCACTGAAATCAATGAGAGTATTAATAGATAGAAAGTGAATATACCTATTGGCGTATGCCTGGACCAGTGATCTCTGCCCAGGATTACAAATCAGGAAGTGGCTTTGGGCCACTTAGCCTGTTTGCCTTCATGTCCTTATCTGTGACATTACAACTTACCTGCCTTGCTGGGATGGTGTGAGGGGTAACTTTACCTCCAGCGTTCCCTTCCTTGCTGAGTGTGTGTGTGCACACTGCAATGTTGCATGCAAAATTAGGAGTAATATTGAAGTTTTGCTCTTTAAGGCCCTGATCCTGCAGACTAACACACGTGCTTCACTTTACACACTGTGAATAGATCTCCTGAGTCCCAGTCCAGTGTTTGAATCACAAAACCATCCTTCCTTTTAAAGTTTGTTCTTAAAGATTCTCATTGATTCCAATGGCTTTTGAATCAGACCCTAAATGATAAAAGCTAATTTACCCTTAATTAAACCAGTAAAGAACTTTCTCATGCTACTGGAGTCCAATTTGGAATATCAAGTTTTTTTAATTGAAGTTTAAGACAAAATAATAAGTGAATCTTTAGAGTCAGACATTTTTCCAGTAACAAACTGGTAATATGACATCCAAAATATCACAACAGTGTATTAAAACCTGTTTAAACACATGGGGTGAAATCCTGGCCTCGCTGAAGTCAAGAGATGTTTTGCAATTGACCTCAATAGAGCCAGGATTTAAGCTTTGGGCCCAACCTTGCAAGCCCCAAAGGCCCAGCTCCTCAAAGGTTTTTAGGTGGCTAATTCTGGTTCCAGGGTTGCAACTTGGACTGTGGGACCTCTGAGCCTTCTGTCCCACCAACCTGGGGTATCCCTCACACTGTGATGCCATTGGCAAGCTACAAAACTCTGGTACATACTACGCTTACACAGACATCCACAGGCAGGGACACACCTGACTGAGTTCCATGAATGCTTCTCCCAGCTACTCATGAACCAATAATAGAAAGGCTCCAGCCAATTCCCTCCAGCTTTCCAGCCTTACACCCCCAGCATATATTGTCTTTCCCTGGTCAGAAGCCTGGCCAGTGTAAGTTCATTACCCAGACTGCCCCTCCCCTGATGTGGAGAGGACAAACACTAGTCTTTGTAACCTGGGCTGAGATTTCCCAAACACTTCAACCAAAATACACTGTTTTAAGTAAAATATAAAACAAATGTATTAACTACAGAAAGATAGATTTTCAGTGATTATAAGTAGTAAGAGTAAAGATCAAAGTTCAGAGGGGTAGCCGTGTTAGTCTGAATCTGTAAAAAGCAACAGAGGGTCCTGTGGCACCTTTAAGACTAACAGAAGTATTGGGAGCATAAGCTTTCGTGGGTAAGAACCTCACTTCTTCAGATGCAAGAAGTCTTGCATCTGAAGAAGTGAG